TGTGCATGCTTTCTCTCTTTCACACACACACACACACACACACACGCTCTCACAAACAAACCTACACGAACCTGGCATGCACATCAGCTCACAGTAGGGGGACATTGTCACACAGGCTAACTGCTTCCAGTGCCGTGTTTATTGGCCTGTTGCAGAGCTGTTAAACACAATTGTGTGGAATACCAAACATGACCCTGCACAACCTCAACTGAACTTTTACACCTGACATTGTGACATGAAACACACACACATAGTCTGACTTTATGCTTGGACCTGTTAGTATAGTGAACTTTTTTTTTTGCTGGGTATGCAACCATTCAAAAAGACTGGATTCCCCTCTGCTCCCACCATCTGTCTTCTCCTCTCTTCCATCTCATCTAGTCCCAACCTATCTCTCCTTTAGTGTTTCTTTTTCTCCCCTTTGCTCTGGTCACAACACATTTACACAGACTTTCCACCCTGAATCAATGCATGGTCATGGTGACAGACCTGGACACCAACAGGCAGGCCTCAGTGAGTGAGGACAAAAGGACAGAGGAATGAGGGGGTAGGGTGATGGTGGGATCGAGGGATATTGGTAAGGGAGAGGAGCTGTCAGTGGTTTTGGCTGTGGTCAAAGCAGTGATGAATATGGGACATTCTGACCTCAGACTATTTCTCTCTTTGGATCCGTCAGCACTGTTCATCAGTGCCAGTGCTCCCATTTCTTGCCCTTCGTTACCCCGTTGCCTTTATTTGAATACTGTATGTTCGTCCCTGTGTGTGTGTGTGTGAGTCACAGCTCAAACATGAGACCACAGAGGGGGAGCCTTGGAGAGGCCTGCGAGGTCAACCAGGGTGACCTGCTGTTAGCGGTAGCCCAGAGAACAGGGTGGAGTATAGCCAGTCAATTCTCAAAGGGTTGAGTGTTCACATTCCAAGAGGGGTGACACAACCGCAGCACCAAGGATAGGCATTTACAGTATTTTGTCAATATGTTTAACTGGTATTTTGAGCACATTTGAGCATAAATTGTTCGGCATGACAGTCTGATAGGCTGTCTGTAATTGACCAGTGGTTTGCTGTGACTGAGAGAGCAGAGGGTTTCCATGGCAAAGGCATCATGTCAGTGAATATGAATTAATTCAGGTGGAAGTCATATTGAACAGCCTTTCATTGCCCTCACATGATGAAAAACATTATACGCAACACAGGTGCCAGTACCTCTGCCATAGAGGTCCTCTTTTTGATCCCATTTGTTTCTGTCTGTTTGTCTGTTAGCAGAAGATATCAGCTATGGTTCATGGAACAAAGAATTCTCGCATTTTTTTTTATCTTAAAGGATTTTGCAACATCGCATAAGAGGGCATTTTTAAACAGTTTTGCTATTTTCTCATGAACTATTGTACTCACTAAAAAAAATCTGGCACATCTATCCCATGATTGTCTATCACAGTGTGTATTTTGCTCCAGATCCAGATGCAGATTAAACATTCCTAAACATTTTCTATTATTAAAATAACAAATGTAGACGATTGTGCAGCCTTGGCAGAGGCATGCTCTCTGAGTGCTTTCTAGTTCTCATTATATTTTGATCTTACTTGTTTACCATATTTGTCTTGGATACAACTTAAGCCAGTAACTATGTTGCCTCCTGGAGTAGGTATGGATTACAATAAGTAGTTTGTTCATGGACTCTATGGCCCCACAGACTTTACCGCGATTTAATCCAGACCCCTGGCAAGATATTTGACTAACATTATTCATCTGTTTGGTATAGCATTATTTCCCTTGTCTTTCTGTCTCGTTGTCTTTTTTCTCGCAACTGTGTGATTTGAAGTCAGATATTCATCAGCGGCTGCAGCCTCTGGTCCCCAGTGTATGGCATTCCCAGTTCACTGTTGTTCTTATCTCCTCTGTTGACCTTAACTCCCTTACTCAAGAGAAAAGCAAATGTTTCTTTATTCACCGCCGTCAGATGGACTCATGCACTGTTGCCATTGTGAATTACAACATGTTTGTTTCTGTGTTTTTTGTGGCTTTTATTAGCTGTCACCAAAGGAGGGGGGGACTGACTAAAGATTAGTTTTGTATCACCCAGATTTAGGACTGACGAGCCATTTTCTTTTCCATTACATAGTCAGGCTCTTTGAAGCATTTTGATCTTTTTGCCTTAGTGTAAACATCTACGAACAGCGGTCGCTATGCCCAGTGAATGCCATTCAATTGTTCAGCTTTTTCCTCTGTTGTCATCTGTGAGATGTTATCTGATTATTGTTAGTATTTCACTGTGTGATGTGGCAAGTCTGCAGCTACCATACACTTGACATCATCTTTGGTTTTGTGTTGCCATGGGGAACAACAGCAGAACATTATAAAGTCATAAGAAAACACCATTAAGGGGTATTACTTTAGGTTTCAGTGTACACACTCAAGCTAGCAGCTATGGTGGTAGCTTAAACAGTAGGTGCCAACTTTTATCTGCCCTGCTGTAGCATAATAAAGATTAACATCCTAGTCTTTACACCAAAACAGCTAGCTTAGCTGACCTAAGGTATGTCACACAATGAACTCACCCTTTCCAAATAGTTATTAACAAAATCTACTAGTATTTTATTTTGCTAAAAATTATCCCACAATTGCTGATAAAAATGTTAATATAAAATGAAATGTCTGGTGGTATAAAGAGTCTAACATCTGGGTCTTCTTAAACACAGTTTCTTTTAGTATTTAACCAGGGTGGACATTCATCAGTGAGTATTTATTTATAGTTTAATATTTTCTTGTGATTGAGTTTGACTCCCAAAGTTTGATATATGGTGACAGGTTTAGTCAACCATCAGACACAGTATGGGAACTACATTAATTTAGGTAACTGTAGTTATTAGTTTATAGTTGGTCTGTATGGCAGGAGAGCTTTATTATGAAATGACCCATTTAAAGAAGCAAATGTTTAAGTATAAGATTACTTCCTATACGTTACGGTTGAACTAAGTATGAATTTTTTTTCTGACAGTAATATGGTTAAGCCTACACAGGGGTATACATCTTTGTGCATACCTTTGAACTACTTGATGTTGGCTCTGCATTAAATTAGCCCTGAAATGATTAGTCAGTCAATCAAATTATCAACTGATCAGATTTATCAATGACAATTATTAAACAAAAACAGTTGCTGGTTGCAGCTTCTAAAATATGAACATTTGCTTGTTTTTCTCAGTTTCATGTTAATGTTTATTGATTACTTTGGTTTTATAGATGGTTTTTCAATCAGTCAGACTTATGCAACTCAGAATGCAACTCAAAGTGCGGAATATAAAAGGTGGAAATACAGTGAAAGTCAACTAATAAGAACACAACTCTACATAAAAAAATCAAATGAAAAATAATGAATAACAGTAAGAGGACAGTTTTCAAACAGACAAATTAATATTAAGAAATCTTGTTATAAGCATTTTTATTGTTATTGACAGACTTAAAAAAAAACATTTTGTATTACAGTACAGGCAGATGAGATGAGATAAATAGGTTTTGTATCTTCTTCATTCTGACACACCCATTTATTGAGTTATCAGCTAGTACTTTTGTTAAAAAAAATACTACGATGGCTGAGGAATAGCCCAAGCAGAAAAAGAAATAATGTGTTATGATGTGACTAAACCAAGATGTCCAGCAGGAGAGCATTAGCCTCAGGCAGTGAGCTCAAGGTGCAGACCAGAGTCACAGTGTTAAAACCCAGCGGTTTCCGTGTGTCTGCCTGCTTTACAGCTTAACCCTGCTAAGATCTGCAGCAGACCAGGCAGTGTCGATGGATTTTCTTCCTGCGTGCCGCCTCTTAAAAAGGCCAAAGCCTTATGTGTCAGTGTTCCGATTTCAAACTCCCCTTTGAAGAGTAATCAAAAGAGGAAGCAGCGTGAGATGAATGTGTAACCATATCTCTCCCTCTTTCCCTTTCTCTTTTGCTCTCCTTCTCTCCATTTCTCTTTTACTCTATCTCGGTCTTTTTCTCAGTTTCTGCCGTTGTCGCCCTCTCCCGACTCCCATCAAAGCTGGGAGAACTGGCCTCCGTATCCAGGCCTGTCAGAGGCATTCCAACATTGTGTGTGTGATATTAACAGAAGGCTGCAAATTTGTTAATGCAAATTTCAGTGGAGGATGTGTGTCTGTGCATTTGTGTGTGTATTTTACACTGAACACAGTATAATAGTGCTTAAGCCAACCAACTCTCTGACTGACACACACACACCCAGACAAACTGAGTGTCTGGCAGCACCTGCTGTCTGCCCCCTGGACCCTGTCCTCTTTTCCTTTCTGTTAACTGGTCTTTTAAATCAGTGCAACCCCGATGTAATGGAAAAAGACACAGCTCTTACACTTACTGGCTACTTGCTACTGGTTACTGACCTAATGGCTCGTAAATTTTTTGGTGAACAGAGATATGTGTGACATAATACAGCTGGAATGGCTCTCAGACGTTTTAAAAAGACTTCAAATATGATTTAAGTTCAAAATTTAATTGTGAAAAGTCCCTGAAGTTGTAAAAGGTGTTCCATTTCCTTGATATGGAATTTCACATAGGTTTTAAATGGGCATTCAAAAGCTCACATTTGACTTTTAAAAGGCAGATCCCACTGTCTAAAGCAGGACAGTAATAAAGTAATACAGTAGTGGTAATAATATGAAGCAAAGTTTACTTTATCATAGGCATCAAGCAGAACAGCATGCATGACTAAATGTGGGATTGACTGTTTCCATTTTTTAAATCAAGGAAAGCTTTATTACGCATGTCCAGTCTTTTCCAGCAACACCCAGCGTTGTGCATACACTCTTTCTTGGGTCCTTTCCATTGCAATCCAAACTCTCTAATTTTGGCACAGAGCAGTGCCCTTTAAGCACTTTGCTCAATGGCAGCTCACTGAAACTGATATAAGGAGGCTGAGGCAGGTGGGTGGTCAATTATCCTGTAACTGAATTGATTAATATGACTTCATATGTTCTTTGTTTTTCTCTCACTTCTCCAGTTGGAGCTGCAGTCATGCTGTGTGTTCCTGCCTAATGACAGCCTCCCTTCCCCGAGCACCATCATCTGCGGTGACATTCCCGGCACCGTCCGTAGCTGGTACCACAACCAGGCCTCCATGCCTGGGACTCTGGTAGTCTGCCTGCCACAGATCAGTGTCCTTAGTGCTGGGCACAAGTACATGGAACCACTGCAGGAGCTCCCCTTTGTGGTCTCCAAGCCCATCTTGGAGGAAGGTAGGTTTTTATATTGTATCTAATGAAATTTCAGTTTTAATTAAAATGATTAAAATGTTAGGAGAAGAACACACACCCAGATAAACAGTGAGAACACTAAATGACCCTGTGTCAAAAAGATTGATTTGAAAGTTTAAATGAGAAAAAAAGTACACTTCAAAAAACAATGATGGTGATAGATTAAAAATGGGAGTCTTGGAAAATAAATTTCAATGGGTGGGAGAAATCGCCTTGCCTTTTTTTTTTTTTTTTTACACACAAATTTGCTTTTATTAATAATTAAAATGAATGCTCTCATAATAGTAATAGGCTACATAATGTGAATTCATCATCATTACAGCCTTTTCAGCACTAAGCAAACCTTTGACCCACTACTACTCATTTACCATGACAAAAGACAAACAAACTTAAGTAGAGCGACTTTGAGAGATAGATCTTGCACATGTGGTGTGCACACCTGGTAGAGTTGACATAAGCAACACTCAGACGGGTGAGCAGTGTTTTCTCTTTAGAAGAAAAAAAAAGTGCCCTCCCTCGTTTTTTTTTCTCCCAACTCTTCAATGACATCAACATTGGGCATTCAGATTTCAAAAACGGAGGAGAAAGAAAAACGACAGCAAAAACAGTGACATCAGCAGCCTTGTCAATGTTGCCGTAAAAATTAACAACCCTTGCTTTTAGTAATTCATTCCTACCCTTTGAAAAGCTCTTCATCTCTCATTTTCAATGCTCTGGATCAAAGCGTCCTGCCCACGGTGCATGGGAAATGTGCTCTTCATGGCCCTGTGCTAGTGAACAAGTTCCCCTTCTCTGTACGATTGTTTTACCAGGGTTGGCAGGATAACAAACTCCAGCTCTCCCAGTGTGGCATCCTGTCTCAGACCCACAGATTTAGAATAGACCAGCTTATTTTACAGTGCGTTTTGATGGGATCCTCTTCCTGCTTATTGGCTGCAGAACCTTTGAATCAGGATACTACTCCTTAGTGCATCTTTAATGTTTTCCATGAAGCTTTCTCCCCTCATGTACTGTAATTGGCTTTAATTTTAAGGGGAAGTGAAAGGAATAATCTAGTTGTCATAGTGTTTTTGATAATGAACATTGCTGACTATCCTTTTGATATTTTAATCCATTGCACTTTTTGTCCTTCTTTTTCCAAATCTGGTCTGCATTTTCTTGCATCTCTCTTTGCCTTCCTCTCAATTTCACAATGACTTGGCTTGTCCTCTTTGCTCTCCCCTCACATGACGTCTCTCTCATCCTCCCTGCTCCTCTCAATCTCTGCCAATGACTCTGTGTTGCAATTTTTATCCTCTTTCTCCTACTGTTACATCCCTTTCCCACATTATTTGTGTATCCTTGTTTCCCCCTCTCCCATGTCTACCACCAGGTGATGCCTTCCCCTGGACAGTAAGCCTGAGTCAGTTCAGCGTGTACACATTACTGGGACAGCAGCGAAGCCTGAGCCTGTTGGAGCCTATGGGCTGCACCTCCACACTGGCCGTCACATCCCATAAGCTGCAGAGCTGTTCTGAAGGAAGACACTCCTTTGTAGTCTGCCTCCATGTTGATCTGCAGCCCGTCCACGTCAAGTGCTCCAACCCTCAGGTCAGTTATACAGTCCTGCATCTTACAAAGTAGTCATCAGATTTACATGTATATTTATACAAATCATCCCCTTGTAAACTTTCCTGAAATATGAACACACAAACACTGGCAGGATGATCCTGCTTGTGCATGTTTCTCTTATATAGATTGACTCCAATAAACAAACTGCCTCATCTTCTTACCTAGAATAATTTTCATGAGAGTGGAAGCATAAACAAGAGAGTGTTGCCTTGTTTGCTTTGGTCAAATATGTTGAGGTCTAAGTGAAGGACAGTGGGGGAGCACAAGACTCATCATCATTGTTTTACAGCGTGTTACTATGTTTTAGTGAGAGCATGATTAATATGGACAGATTGGAAACGGAACATTTTGTTCTCCCAGTTAGGTCTCTGTGTTGTTTTTCACTGCACTGTTACAGTGCTATAATCACATCTACATGTACCATTACACATGTTTTGTTTTTTCGCAATTGAATTAGCTGTATTGAATTTGGTTCCTCTGTAAACACTTAATTGGGGCGACCTTTTGAGTGGTCACACTGCTAAATGTCTCTGACCACAGTGATGAGCCATGGTGATATTGAGGCGAATTGGTACCAGAAACAAATGAAAGGCCTTAATCTGTTCGTGGTGAAAACTTTCCCAGAGATGAGGAGAGCTGGTCGTTTATTGAGGGAAAGTTTCTTTTCTTTCTTCTTCTCTGCTCTCCCTTTTCAAATGGAGAGCCTGTGTCTGGCAAAGCTGGGAAGGCTTATTGCGATTATATGATGAGTCATTATTAGTTTTCGGGTCCAATGAAAACTTCTCTTCTCTTCTCTTTCATCGCAATCCCTCTGCTCTCTCTTCCCATCTGTTCACCTCCTCTCTCCTTCTCTCACTCTTCTGTGTAAATTTCTGACTCGAGGGGGGTTATAAGCTCATTCTGTACCATTTCAAGTCATGTAGCAGCTCTTTAAGAAGTGCTGCCAGAGCAACCCCACCCTCTCTAGAACAAAAGAGACCTCACACTACTTACTCTTCTTTCTAATTAGTATTTCCATTTGTGGGAATGTATATGGGGATGTCAGAGTCCTGCACAGTTGCTACACAATAAGCCCCACCAACACAGTTAGATGAGAACATTGTGACGGGTGTGCCGGAGGAATTGGAGGAGTTTGGGTGGCAGAGTAACATCTGGCATTTGCTAATCAATTATTATCACACTCATTTTGAGACCTTAATACATTTAAAGTCAACAAATAAAACCAAAGAGTTTGGCCTCTTAACTTCTCCTGGCATTGGAGCTACATTTTTGTGACATTAAATCAGATTTTCCATAATATGCAGAGGATTACTTCATGGCACAAACAAAGATATTTTTAGAAACTGGGGGTGCAAAAGTCGAGCCTTGGATCTTATTCTTTTTTTAAACTATATTTAACATTTTTACATGTAGCCACAAGTGTCATGATTTTGTTTAAGAGCATGAGAAGCGTTGCCATTTGTGTACTCCATGAAAGTGACCATACACACGAATAGACATGTTTCTGAATAGATTTTCTGAAAATATTAGGGGTGCAATGGCTGCTAAGGTACAATAGGAAGTGAGGTTAGTGTTTTTGAAATTTGAATGTGTTGTCTTCAATCTGAGTTTTAGTGTCTGTGTGAATGATTCATGTTGGTGTCAGAAGGATGTGGTTACTAGCTACACGTTTACCTTATCAGGACCACCTTGAATCAGCACACACCACCACCACCACCGTTTGCTTTGACCTCTGACACATAACTGTGAACACATGCAGACACACACACACGCACTCTCATATATCCATACACATGTTCACTCTCGGCTACTACACATACACAACAATATGTCACTTTTGTGAAGTTTCTATATAAACTGTGCAAAGATAAAGGAACACGAACACTCACCATCTGCATGCTCTCCCGTCTTTCATCTGTGTGTTTTTATGAATGACTGTGGAAGCCTCTGTTCAGTCTCCAGTTTGTACTACTGCAGCCGAGCAGACCTCCTGATCTGCAGATGACAGGTCTTTGGAGAACCCAGCCCTCCAAATGTTCTGCTCACTTCCCCAGCTCATGAAATGTGGCATATGTATTGTGAGCTCATGTAAGCATGCAAGTGTGTGTGTGCATGTGTGTGTATGTTTGTGGGGTCCAACCTGCCCACTGGCCCAACAGCAGTAGCTGAGCTGAACCAACTTACCCGACTTTCCACTTTCATGAACAGACTGTAGATATAGGGTGGAGCAAATGGCAGAGAGGATAAGAGAGCAACAACAGAGATTAAGGACAGAAGGGACTAAACCCTAGACTCTGCTAAAACAGAGGTCATGTAATGACGCTTCATCTCACCCCTTCCCTTCTCTCCTTTATTCTGCATTCTTTACTTCCTCCACATCTGCTGCTGAGTGCAGTAGGCCTTGTTGTGCTTGGTTGGACTTCCAGGCCCCAGACTCTCAAAGAAGAGAGTGTGGAGCCGTACCTCTCCTGACGGCAGAGCAGTTCGGTTGGGTATGGCAGACAGCTGTTGGCCCTGTCCCTGGACGGCTGCTGGATCGGCGTTAGCAGCTCTTCCTGGACATGTTTGAAATGGCCCAGCTGTAACGTATTGTGCTGCTTTTCATTTGATTTATGCTTATTTATGGAAGGCCTCCCTGTAATGTGTGCGCTAACAGGCATGCATGTGTGTGAGTGAGCAGTAGTGAGTAAAAATATGTTTGGAGTAGAGAAAGCTATTTTGTGTGTGCTCATGTGTCTGTGCACCTTTACTTTTGAGGGACCCTCAGTGGTGGGGAGGTGGGAGTGGGGGGGGGGGGGGGGGGGGGGGGGGGGGGGGGGGGGG